CACACATACCCTAAGTAAAATGTGTGTGTGTGTGTGTGTGTGTGTGTGTGTGTATATATATAAAACAACTTATCAATGTTTTCTCTACCTTATTAAATCTTACCTTAATTTTCTTTTTCAATGGAGAGTTTTGCTTCTCCTCTTCTTCCTCAATTAGTTTAAGTGCCAACTCTTTGTTAACTTTTGGCAATTTCTAAAGGAGAAAATATTAACATTTTATCTTAAAAGTTAGTAATTCGATAAAGAGTCTAATTTCACAAATAGGAGACAGTCTAATTTAGTGCAAATTTCACTTTCCCAGAGTAGGACATAATGCGGTCACAAATGATGTAATGGGGGTGCACGGGCACAAAACAGCGACCTCAGCTGGCTGCTGGGAGGTCGCCCTCAGCCTGCCTCCTCCCAGCTCACTGAGAAGCAAACTGGGAGCAGCTCCGCGTGGCCTGCCTCGGCCCTGGGGCCCAGAACCCTAACTGCCTACGGAGGCCAGGAGGCCGGGCAGCACAACCTCTACTAGAGGCACAGGAGCCTGCTGGGTGTGCCCCACGATGCTCATGGCTCGACTTCCACTCTGGAGCAGCGCATTTCTGAAGGGAGTTCAGGACGGGAGCTCTCCATTGCCCCTCCTTCTGGCACTCACGTCCTCTGGGGAGTAAAGGACTGCCTAGACGAGGGCTGTAAGGAGCCCGGTAAAAGCACTCCACACCCCCGGCTCACCTCGCCAGCACACTCACTACTTCCACAAGTGCCTAACAGATTCCCTGGGAAAAGGAACAAGTGCTGGGGTCATTTCAGAAAACAGTTCCCAGCCATGTGCACCACAGAGCAGCACACACTCCCAGGTGTTACCAATGTTTGGCTGCCGCGGTGTGCACTGATGTGATTAAACTTGAGCAATGGGGGCCACTGGAGAGGCTAGCAGGCAGGAGGAGGCCAGGGCCACGCTCCCCGCCTGCTCCCCACCTGCTCTCTGCCTGGGCTGCAGCACCTGAAGCAGCTGGCGGTTCCCACGGCAGCAGTGGCGGGCAATGGTTCGCAGTCACCGACACTCCCAGCAACATCCTTGTGTTACTCAAGGACGCAGAACCAGGCTGCAGCCCTCCCTGGCCGTGCGGGTCCCAGCTCCATGGGACCCTCTTGTTCCCTGCCCCAGCCCTGAAGAGGAAGTTCCTCCTGTGGTGGCTACTCCCCCATCCACACCTCAGTGTCTTTGCCTTTTCTGTCCGCAGTAGCCAGGTAACGCGTCCACACAAGCATGCTGGTGTGGCCTGGTTCCTGACCGGACTCTGACGCAGTCTGATAACTGCCCCCATGATCCAAACACAGAGCCTGAGTGACTCTCAAATCCCAGAGGCTCCAAATGGAGAGCCCCTTTGGAAGCACCTTCAGATCTCCTTAGTGGGGGTGACAGATCTGTCCTCCCAGCATTACTCCCCACGATCCCAGTGCGGTGGGCGGAATACAACACTGCGCAGAACACCCACCCTCCAAACACACCCGAAGACGTGAATTGGAGCTGGGACGCTCTGACGAGCCAGGCAGACGTCTGCGGATAACGTAAAATGAAAAGTCAGGCCCCTCTCCGGTAAACCCGGTGACGAGTGTCACCCTTACCTTTAACTGGACTCTCTGGGCACGCGTCTCTTCTATCTTCTGTCGAATTTTATCTTTTCTGTATTCTTCATAGGCAAATGGGTTTACCATTAGCTTCACCTTTTCAAAGGAGAAAAAGAACAGAGTGGTATCCAGCAGCAGGTCTCACAGCCCCGCGGCTATGGCTGGAGGAAGACGGTCCCTTACGAACCCAAGTGTGTGACAAAGGAAAGCGGAGAAAGAATGGCCCAGCAGCCCCCAGAGACCGCAGCCTGCCTACCTTATGGTAGAGCCTGATATCCATGAAGAAGCCGTGCATGTATGCTCGCAGGAAAGGAGACCCGATGAGATGTGTCAGCCCTGGGAAGGTCATCAGAGAAGGTCATCCTTATGACATCCTAATGAAGATTTCAGTTTTTCTTGAACAATGATTTGATTAAACTATGATTTCGCTTCTGAGTAAAAATTTGAGGATTAGAATTATTTTTTTTTCTCAGAGATTTTTGCTATAGAGTTTACGTACTCTCCGGAGAGACAGGGAGATATGAAGAGAAAATCGCCCCCAGGGGGGATGGCAATGCAGCAATTCCTTCTCTCCCACTCTCCTCTCAGGATCTTGGGCACACACGCACACTTGGTGTGAGTTTTAAGTCAGAGTCCAGGGCTTGAACCGAGGTCACTTATGTGGGAGTCTAGTAACGTAATCATTATGCCATCTGCTGGTCCCCCAGGATTAGAATTATTAATCTTTGATATCCATGGGGAAACTTTAATCCACTTTATTAGTATTATCCTTACTTATTACTATTTTTTAACTTTATTTATTTTCATTTGATCAGAGATGGACAGAGTGAGAGAGAACATGAGAAAACAAGCGACCAGGTCCAGGACTCGAACCACAGTTGGCCGTGTTGGAAACCAGCGCCCTTAACCACCATGCCCCCTGCCAGCCCCAGTCCTTACTTATTTAAAATGCATTAGTTAGCATAAAAATGATGAAAAGGTCTTTACCGACCATAAAGGACGGGTAAGGAAGAGTCCTTTTTCTAGTATTCACACGAACCTATATGGTAAACATGGCTCAGCCAATTCTAATGTTCAAAAGTTGTGGAAACTGGGCCATCCGGTTGCATGATGGTTAAGGCTCTGGACTCCCACATAGCCAACTGCAGTTCAAGTCCTGGACCCAGCAGCTTGGAGATCATGCCAGGCACAAGTGCATGTGTATCCAAAATCCTGAGAGGAGAATGAAAGACAAGGGACTGCAGCGTCGTCACACCCCGCAAAGAGTGATTTCTCACTTCCCTTCTCTCTCTCTCTGGTGAACACATGTGCTCTATGGAAAAAAAAACTTTAAAAAAAATGGAAATAAATAAATTAATAAATACTTTACCTAAATTTTCAAGGTCTTTCTTGGTGACAAATTTGTAATCATCATACACTGTGCTTTCTGGATTCTCTTCTAACTCTTCCGTCAGGTTGTCCAAGAAAGAGCACCACCTGGGGGCGGGCCCTAGGACCTGTGGGTGTTCATGAAATGGTTAGCAAATGCCCATTCTCACCGTCAACTAAGGCAGTCATTTCACAACCAGGTTTCCTTAAATAGAACTCTAAATCCTTGTTTCTAACACAATTATTGAAAAAGAGCCCCAGTATGTATAACGACTAAGTATTGCTATATAATAGGAAAGAATAAACTAAGGAGGAAGAGTTTAGGCTCTAAGGAAAAATACGTCCCTCAGGAATACAAAGATACGGATGCGTGTTCTTACATTAGAACTATAAAAACACAGATAAATAATTTAGGTACTTATAATAAGATCTTTCCATTCATCCATCCTGTATTCAAGCAGTGCCAGAATTAATTCTAGAGAAGCACATTCGGTGCCTGAGACTTTGTGTTCGCCACCCGTAAGAAACAAGTCTCACGTGACAATGACACCTCCAGGTTTCCAGTTCCTTACATGCTTCTACTCCACTTTATACAGTACACCTCACTCAGTTCATTTAAGTCACTCAAAATGAAAATGCCATAGTTAATAAAGGGGACTGCATTCTTGAAAATCACTGGCAGGAGATTTTAGGTATTCTCAACACAAAATGACGAGGAGGCGAGGCAAAGCTTACCCTCCTCGGCCCTGTTCAGCCATTCTGCCATATACGTATTTCAAAACATCATGATGTACACAATAAATACAGACGACTTTGATCTGCCAATCTAAAACATCAAAGTTATTTTAGAAACTGTCTGTATATAAATTCTTCAGACCTAACGTAAAATAGGTGGCCAGGCCTCATGCGTTACCCTCCATGAAAGGTTAAAGAACAAGAGACCGCAGACCATTCAGAACCGACTAATGGAACAGGTGTAGCTAAGTCTGTCATCCAACTGCTTCAGTAGAAAACGATGACCGTTTTGTACTTTCGCTGCTGATACGAATCTTTCCCAGCACGGTGCCACACCCGCTAGGGTCACAGCTTATGCAACGGAAGCTCACGCAGTGGAGACCCACTACCGAACCCCTCCCTGCGGCTGCAGGGCCACATGGACGTCCAGTGCTCACCTACCTGTTTCCTTCAGTGGCGGGGATGGATTACACAGGAAAATAACAAAACCATAATGAAATGATTACATCCAGCTTAAACTTTTTGCAAAAGGGAAGGCAGGAGGAACAGCATTATAACAAAGAAAAACAGCTCCTGTTAACGCCCTCTTCAATTAAATTGTTTAAAGTAGATGTGAGGTACAGATGCAACCACGCTAACTTTGGTTATGTTATTTTGTCTGATTAGAAAGAGAAATCGCCCTCTCCCCTCTTCCTGCCACGAGGCTCAGGGCTCATGCACATGAACATAACTCCCGATGGGCATCAGAGGGTCTTCTGCTTGTTTCATTTGGCAGAGATGGAGAAAGGGAGAGGGAGAAAGCACCTCTTCGGGGAGTGGGCACGCCCGATCCCTTCCTCTCCATCTCTCCACCCTGTCGGGATCTGGGGCACGTGTAGGCGCATGCCCATGTTTTCCCAGTGTGTTCACGTGGGCTCTGGCTCCCTTAACCACCAGGCAATGGGGCAGGCCTCGTTAAGAGGAGTCTTGCAGAGAAGTTTCATAGTAACACAATGTATATAATTTTTGAAAAGAGAATAAAGTTTTGATACTAAATGGTTTGACTGTACCCACAAAAGACAAACCCTAAAAAAATCCAAAGCATTTTTAAATGATCAATGCTGAACCCTTTTTAAAGAAATGAGGCTGGCCCAGTCACTCAGTGGTTAAGTGCTCTGAGGAGACTCAATCCCACACGGCCAATCAGTGTGAATCCGGCTCTAGCAGCTTGAAACACACACTGGGTGCGTGGCCCCAGACC